TTCAAAAGTACTGTTTTCCATCCTGAGTTGTCTGACCTCTTCCAAGTGGTTGGTTTACTGCACTTCATGTCAATCTAATGACATCCCCAGCTTCAATTACCTACAGTACCTGACACATCCTCTCCCCATCCTTTGCCCACTGTATCATAACAATTTCCTTTCCTTTTTTAAAAAAGAAATCTTCAAGTTCTAATGTTGGCACATTGGAACAAAGCTTCAAAGTTTCAGTGAATGCTACTCCTCTGCTTTGATGAACCTGAATCATCCATTTTTTGTTGCCATAAATTTTCTATGGCCCTATGCTGGAAATGAAGGAACAACCAGTTCTCTTTGCTTTAATCACTGTAGCATCCTAGCAATGATGGTACAAAAAGGGGGCTGGGCAAGAGAAAGGTGTCAAAGGAAAAGATGTGAAAAGGCGTCCATGTGTGGAAATGTCTGGGAAAGCAAAGCAAAAAAGAATGAGGAGGAGGAGGAGAGGGACTAATGAGAAAGGAACAATCTCTAAAAGGAAAAAGTAAGGACTGGCAGATCCACCTACACAGGACAAGACAGTAAGGCTTATCTTCTATGGGAAGAGCAAGAAGCAAGGGAATGATGAATCAAGTCTTATGGTAAGTTATAGTTTGGACTAAGCACCACCCAGTCTGTTGCCAAACCACTGCAATCCAGACTGGAAGATGGATAGGTCCATCCAATTTTTAAATCATAGGAAGAAATGTACAAAATTTTGCCGCAATTTTAGCCATATCATGCTGCCATATTTTTTTAAAATTACAGTTAAGGAAACTTTTGTCAATGGTACAGGATTAGTTCCCTCAGCACTCCTGAAATTCAATATCTATTGCTACCATTGCCTGTACTTTATTTTTTCATACAATTGTCTTGCTAAGTCTCTAAACAATCACCAAAGAAAGGAAAATTGAAAGCAAGTACTAAGGTTGTATGTCATACTAATCTCTAGCTCCTTGCTACAAGCATAATTTCATGAGGAGACTCATTTGAAAGAAATGTAGGCTAATCTATTAGGAATGTTTGCATCTAAAGGCTTTTGTCTCACTCATGAAGTTAGGCCAAATGATCTTTGAGGCTTTTCCAGGTTTCTCTATCAGTAGTTCCCATCAGATTATGCTAAACACCATCTCTGAATAAACTTCTGACTCATCCGGTTTTCTATTTTCTCCCTTTGAGCTCCTCATTACATCTATCTGTCTCGTCTTGTCTAGAGTTGAAGTTGCTCTGCTAAGAGAAATGTGATATCCAGGTCTTCATTTCCTGATCGATCTGGCCTACAGACATCTATGGACATAAATGCATGGATGGGGTACAAGGAGCAAGAACCAAACTGTGTATTGTGATCATCCATACCAACCCATTAACTTAAAATTGTGAATCTGGCAGTCTTTCCTGCTCTTTTTCTTGATTCTTTTTATGAATGAGTATCTGTTTATGAGCAGTTCACAAACCAGTAAAACATCAAAGAAACAATCCTTATAATCAAATAACAGTAAAATGAAAAAAGAAAGAAAAGCAATGAAAGCCATATAGGGACGGTTGTACAGGGAAGACAATCTTTCAGCAGCCACATGCTGTATTTTCTCTGTATCTCTGGCCAGCTGAGGACATGATACAGTGGGGCAAAAAAGTATTTAGTCAGCCACCAATTGTGCAAGTTCTCCCACTTAAAAAGATGAGAGAGGCCTGTAATTTTCATCATAGGTATACCTAAACTAGGAGAGACAAAAGGGGGGGGGAAATCC